CTCCATTTGCAAATTGTAATACCAGCATGAAATTACCGCTTAGTGAATCTAAATTGTCCAGCAATTTTATTAGATATATTGATACACAATAGATACAGAAACAAACTTAAGTACCTATTGAAATTCCAAAGAGTTCAATAATGTTTGGATGACTTGTTTTATACAAATTTTTAAGCTACGAATAGTTGTTTGTAAGTTTTGATGTTAAAAAACACAAAATATAGAATAATAAATAATGCACTACCTCACGCATTATTTGCTTGAATCTTTTGTAATCCGATGACAAATTATTATTTAGACTTTTCAGAGCATATTTCTTTTCTTGAAAAATAGCAGAGTACACGACTGCAGATCCCCCACTCCCAATCTTTTTTATTTCACTAAATTGTGAGTAATTAAAGCTTTTTGCCCCGATACTCTTCAAATCGTCTTCCAATTCTGAATAATCAACTACTAATATTGTATAAACATTCATCATCAATATATAGTATTGTGTATTCATCATTATTTAATGCGGTAGCTTACATGATTTCTCTGGTATTTTTGTTTTATATAAATCATGAATTTCTCCCGTCGTTAAGTTCATATTTATCTGACTTTTAATACTTTGTTTTGGAGTAGGGAACGTTGCTTCTGAAACTTTTTGATTTAGATTTGGTATTACCTTGGAAATTTTTTCATTTCTTTTCACATTCACGCATATTCTCTCTTCTCTGTTAATTTGTATATAATCAAAAGTATATTAAATTCTTTAAATCTATGTAGAGGGATGTTAGGTGTCTGGTCTAAATTGATAGGCCACATTTAGTCTTAAGACCAGTCTAAACTAAAAAAAACCAGCCTGTTATCAGCTTTAAGACCAAACCGGTCTGGATATGTTTAAATTATTTAAATCTTAAAAATATAAACCATCAAAGACCGGACCAGACCAGAGTGTTAACATCTCTACTATATAGGACCATAGATCTATGTAAGACAGTAAAATGGATTTTATACTCACTTCCTGTTACATTATTTGGTGCGGATAGAGTGACCAGAAAACATTTAATGAAATATTAAATAATATTTAAAATTTAATGGAAACAAACTTACGGTTCGACCGTTACAACTTCTCCGAGAATACTCCAATTAAAAGACTCCATTCCAACATCAGTTATAGCAAAATCTTTCTGATTAGTGTTGATTAAACACCATCTCATTGTAAAGTTATTCAAATCAATACTTTGTATGGCTTCAGCATTACTTTGTGAAATATTCAAACTTAAGTTTGATTTTAAGCCATCATCAGTATTGGCTTGAATAACCTGATTTTTATTAAGATCGTCTGAATCAAAGCTGGTGACAAATACGAATGAATCAGGTAACTTATCATTTGATATGCTAACATTGCACGTAATCGGGAATTGACCTGATAATAACTCTTTTCCATACAATATTTTGATATCACGAGTATGCCTGCTAAAGAATCCATGTCCTTTGCCAAGAATTATCCAAAAAATTTTTGCACTAACAGGAATTCTAGTTATATTATTTTCTCATGTTAGTAAATTTGGTCTTAATATTATTTAATTATCGAAATATTAAAATATTAGAAAAAACCTTAAATTTTCTGGTTTATGAATTATGGCTCGACATCCATATTGAGTTGCTAAATTAAATCGTATCATTACATCTAATCTATTTAAATTGTTGTTATCAATCATTTGACCAAACATTTCGTAATTAGTATCTTGAAGAGGCTGTGCGAATTGAATATTCACATATGTTTGATTTTCGCGATTAATTTTTGTGGCACCAGTCATTAAAATTTGATATCTGTCTGAAATTATATCTTCTATAATATTCTGTATAGCTTCTGGCAAAACCTTATATAAAGGGACCAAATTTTCAAGTCTCAGTATTCCCCAATTTTGGTCTTTATTTAAATTTCTTCGCAGAAAATATATATCCTCATATTTCTTTACAATTTCATCGTTGGGATTTAAGAATGATCTATCTAAATGTTTTGCTAATAAAAGATATATATTCTCTTTCTCCACAAAAGTTCCAGTATGATCTAAGAAAGATACATTTAGATCTTTTGTTAATTTACTCCAGTCATTGAATATTCCCAAAATTTGATCTTGCAAAATAATTTCATCATCCGTGTTCAAGAAAAACTTTTTGTCAGATATAGGTTTATCATTACTATCGATATGATTATAAACTTTTGATAAGCTCCAACCAAGAATTATTATTTGAGGCCATAGGTGTCCAAATTTTTCAAAACCATTTTTTAAACTTTGCAAAGGAAATTCGTTCTCAATTGCTTCGTTTACTGCATTTGTAAGATCCTCTGAAGGTTTAACTTTATCCACATCAATCATTAATTTGACTTTTTCTGATACTATTAAGCAGTGAATTTCAGTAATTTGCTGATTATCAAATAAAGGGTGGAGATTATCGCCTGTTGTTTTCGTAGAGAAAAACGGGATCTTAGTGTCAATGTCCAATTTAATACGATTTGTTAATGCAAAAGCCTCCATTTTACTGGAAGGTTGACGCAAGTGCATATATGAAGTACTTAACGAGCGTACATCAGGTATATCAATAAAGTCAATAGCAACTTCAAACCCATGCCCTATCTTGCATGATTGAATAGTTAAACCGTGGCGTAGATGCAGATTCTTAACCCAATCACATAAATGAATTTTTGGTAAATTTGAAACCCACGCATTTAAATCTTTGCACGCATTTAAGTCCTTTTCATCAAACCCTACCATATGTGGAATAAACCCTGAAGATTTTTCAACAAATTTTCCAAGAAATCTTTGTATGTTTTGTTTGACTTTATTTTCGAACAAATTATATACTGGAATAACTTTATTATAAGATATAATATATCCATTTTTATGCTCATAAAAATCCTCCATCCAAGTCTTCAATTCTTGTCCATTAACAATTTTTTGTTCATTGCCCTTCTGTTCATCATTTAATGTAAAATGATCGTCGAATGGGATTTGATTAAATACGTTAGGTATTCCGGAAATAATTTGATTATAAGCCCAGTATATATGGGTTTTTAGAATTTCAATATCTTGTGAAAGTGATTGATCATTTTCAGGCAATATTATATATAGAAGTAATAAATTTGTAATCACAATTACTGTAACTGTATCCAACAATAATAATAATAAAGCCAATCAAATTTTAAGATTAGGTGTAATGTGAAGTCAAAACAAAAATTTTTTTTTAAAAAAATCATTAATAACTCAAAATTTTGACTATGAAACTATTTTTTATATTCTAACAAAAAAAAATTCCTTGCTAAATTTTGATATAAACTAGTTCTTTCCTATTTCTAGCCTTACTCTAACTCTAATCTTAATTGCAAAGTTGATTTTATAAAAAAAAAATTGGTTTGACAATTACATTAATTATGGTTACAAAACAATTAATGTAATCTATAGTTACAAAACAATTAATCCTTATATATATATAAAATAAATATATTTATTATATAAAAATTTTGGATGTTCTATAGAATAGGTGGGCAAACTCTGCAAACTTTGTAACTCTGCTATTAAAAAACTAATAATTACTAATCATTAGTGAAGCTTATTTCTTATATTGCCCACCTATTCTATAGAATATCCAAAAATTTAATTAACTTTATTTATTTTTTAAAATTATTATTATTATTTTTTTTGGTATTAAGGTGAGGCCTTGCTCATATCTTTATTAATAGTTTTTATCATAGTAACTACAAGGAGTTGCT